TAAATGTTTTGGTGGGCTCTACCTGAGGATAGAAGAGGCAGGTGGAGATCTGAGGAAGTTCTCAGCAAAGTTGGGCTTTGGACTGAGTACCTTGTGAGCTGCTGATGAGAATCAGTGGTAAAATCCTTCAAAGGATTGTGTGCTTGTGTTCTGGAACTACAAGAAAGGGGACCTCTGGGAAGACTCTGAAACTGGGCTTGGGGTGCAGGGGAACCCCAAGAGATAGAGCAGATGGTGGCCGTTCACAAAAGAAAAGAGACTTTGGAGCCCTGGCCCAGGACTGACAACATTCAGGGGCCTCCAGGCTTCTCCTACGCAGCAGCTCTACCTGCCTGTAGGTAGGAGGGGCCAGAGATGTGCAGAATAAATACATCCTGCACTCTGCCCCATTCCTAGCCCAGCTGACCAACCTTTGTCCACTGGGCATACACCTACTAGTCTGCCATCTCACCTAGCCCCTCTATGTCTCCATTCTGCAGAAATTGGCAAAGTGAGGAAGAGTGAAGGAAGAGTGAAGGTTTAGAGGAGGAAAGGGTGGACTAGGATACAAAAGAATGAGATATGACACCTCCTGGATCTGCTGTTTTACCTAGTCTGCAGCCACTGGACGGGAGATCTGCAGAGCCTTATGATCTTGTCTCTCTCCGACTCACCAAATCAGAGGCAAATGGAAAAATACTGCCTCAGAACAAAAATGTGCACACAATCTGAATGGTGGAATCCTGGGACACACTTGCAAAGAGAAGAGGCAGCTCCAAGTCTATTTAGGCACAGCTCTTAAGTAACAAGAGGGCCAAAGGCAGGTGTCCACTAGGCTGGGCTCTGAACTGGGAAGTGGGTAAGGGGAAAGACAAGAGTCCCAGGAAGGTTGGGAGACTGTGGGATTAGAGGCTCCCTTCACTCAGGAAGCAAGGAACTGGGGCAGAGGGGGATTTTAAGGACAACTTTGGAGTCAGAGGATAAGAGTTTGGAGTTGGGATTCTGCCCTTTCATGCTGAGTTTCTGCACATGGCCAAAAATCTCTTTAGCTTGGCTCATGCTGTATCAGGCAGTCATGCCAGCCCAGGGCTTGGGACACTGCCCAAATTAAACTTTCTTCTAGGGCTAAGTCCAAAGCTAGAGGCATGGGTTAGTGGTTCCAGCTTGCCTTGGGGAGGTCAAAGTAATACCATAGGCATCGTACATCTTTATGGAGGTTCCGCCTAACTTCTAGAATTAGCTGGTAATGAATAAAATTGGTAGCAAATATTACAATGCATATATTATTATGAGATGATAGTAATGGTAATGGAAGATAAAGTCTGGAGTACCCACTTGCCAAGATCACACAATGGTAGTAGAGCTGGGGTAAGAACCCATGTATTGTGGGTTCCTAGCCTCTCCTCTGTCAATCAGTATTTATAGCTAAAAGTTGCACCAGGTTACCAGTTAATAGATAACAGAGTCAGTATCCAACCCCAGGTTGGTCTGACTCCACGACCAGAACTGCAAGTCACCATGCCCTATTGCTCTCACTCCCCAAGATGATCTGATTTCATGGGTCTGGAGTCCCAACAAGTGTCTCAGGAGGTCTCTGGGGCACATTTTGAGAAGCAGTGTCCTGCAGCAACGGGTCTCAGTTTGGTTGCACATTAGAACCAGGAGTTTCCAAAATGATTTAAGCCTTTCCATTCTTTTTTCAGTTGTTCCAGAGTAGGGGTGGGGGTAGGGGTGGCGGCAGGGTGCTGGTCAGCATTTGTTTTTGAAGTATGACAATGTGTTCATGTATTCATTAAATTAATCAACAAATAAAAACATGCAAGCACCTACTCTGTGCTCTGCCCTGTCCTGGGGCTGGAGATACAAAGGTGGGTGGGACATTGTGTCCTGGGGTGCCCGTGACCTGACCCACTGGGCTGAGCATGCCCTTGGTGGAGGAGGGGAGGCTGCAGACTCCCTCTCTTGGGTGAGCTCTGGAAAGAGCCACTCCCCTTCTCAAATTATGCTGCCCTGCTGGCTTCTCACCTGAGAGCACACAGTTTGTTTCAGCTCTAAAACTCAGCTCACGAAACCTCAGATTGTCAAGGCTAAACGGGCCCTGATAAATGATCTGTGCCCAAAGCACTCAAACTAGCTAGCAGCTGACAGAAGTGCTCAGGAGGTTTTAAATCTAAAGATGCCAAGAGCCCACCCACAATGTTCTCATTTATGGGTCTTGAGTGGGGTCTGAGGAATATGCATTTTTTAAAAAGCTCCAAACAGCTGTGGTTCTCAGCCTTGGCTGCACCTGAGGAGGTCTTGGGACGTTTTAAAAATGTTGATGCTCAGGCCTCCTCCCTGGAGAGGCTGATGAGGATTTTTAAACACTGCTGGTGATCCCATCATGCAGCAGGTGGAGACCCCCTACTGCAAGGTGTCTGGGTCTTCCAGCTGACCTTGTTAAAGATTTGAGGAGGCATACTCAGGGGCAGTCACTCCTTGCCACCATCAGGGCTTTGAAACAAGGACAGAAGAAAATCAGAGAAGGGAGGAGACAAAAATTAAAAAGCCACTAAGAAGGTTTAGAAAAAGAGAAGCAAGATAGAAGGCTGAATAAGAAGCTCCTATGAATTCACCTGTCAGCACTCTGAGGCATAATCTCTTTTTTTTTCAATGTTCTTTGCCTTATTCTAATAGTGATTAATTGATGTAAAATAAAGAAAGCATAGGAATATATGAAAGCAAAAAAGAAGGTCTATAATCTTATTTATCAGAGATGCATCACATATATATCATACAACGATAGTATATGTTATAACGAGATACTGCATCATAAATCTGATATATAAATTAATGTATAATATATACTATATAACCTTAACATGTATAATTAGTATCCCCACTTTTTTTGAGATGGGATCTCACTCTGTTGCCCAGGCTGGAGTGCATTGGCATGATCTAGGCTCACTGCAACCTCCGCTTCCCTGGGTTCAAGTGAATCTCCTGCCTCAGCCTCCCAAGTAGCTGGGACTACAGGTGCGCAACACTGAGCCCAGCTAATTTTTGTGTTTTTAGAGACAGGGTTTTACCATGTTGGCCAGGCTGGTCTTGAACTCCTGACCTCGTGATCCACCTGCCTTGGCCTCCCACAGTGCTGGGATTACAAGCATGAGCCACAGTGCCTGGCCCTCTAGTACCCTTTTTATAAAGTGTATTTTTCTGTTTTGGCTTTTTTGTCAGTTTAAAAGCCTTTTGTTTTTCAGGCAATTAAACATCTGAGTGCTAAATCTTTATGCCAGGTGGGGAGGCATGTGAGTGGAGGTGAGCTGGTGTGCCCACCCCTCCCCCATGGGCCTTCACACATTCATTCACGCACACACACACACACAGGTCCAGAAGCTTCCATCCCACTCTGCCGCCCTAGGCATCATATTATGCATTCAAATACACACTTCACATCATACCTTCAGAGTTACTAATAGGATTTTATTATTTAAGTGTGAAATTGCTTTCCCCCCTCTTTCCCATTTCTTTGATTTCTAAGGAAAAACGGCACCAGGGAACCCAGGAGGGTGGTCCCATTGGGGTGAACCCTAGCTCCACAGCCCTGCTTGCTGACTCTTCCTCCCCACCCTGGCCGTCCCTCCTCTCCTGTGCCCTAAGGCCTCAGTCGCTCTTCTCCGTGGGTTGAGGCTGGTGCACTGGACAAAGGCTGTCCCTCCACAGGTGGTAGGTGAGGGCTGAAGTCACGGTGAGCCAGGCTAGGTAGGGCAGCAGTAGCAGGGCAGCCAGTTTGTTGATCGGATGCCAAATCAGTGCTGTGCTTACCACCAGCCCATACAGCAGCAGCAGGTGCAGCAGGGCCTGGGCACAGGGGCCGGGGGTCAGCTGGCCGCCCAAGAACCAGCACCTCCACCTTTCTGCAGTACCCAGCCCAGCCGCAAGCTAAGTCCCTGGGGCTCTGTGCACACCATGGAAGTGCAGAGAAGTCTGCCCATCCATTACCTGCCTGCACTCAATTGCTCTGCCAAATTATGTGCTTCTGGGGCCAGGTGGTTTCACCCTCTCCCACATTACTTCTGCTACTGATCCCCGTGTGCCTTACCAGACCAGGGTTGTGGACTGTGAAAAAGAGAACCAGGACAGCCCAGCTGATGGTGAGCTGAACAGCATAGAGGCCAAGAGGCAGGGCCAGGGGCCACCCCAAGCCCCCTCCCAGGTCCTTCCACACCAGGTAGGAGGCATAGCTGTGGAGAGATGGTGGCAAAATCATTCAATGGGAGGTTCCACGGTGAATGGAGGAGGCTCTCTGGCATAAGGACTCTTGGATACCCTTGTGGGCTGAAATGGGGGCGAATGGGTCTAGGCATCATTTAAGGGCTAGGGAGGGAGTTGGTGGGAGGAGCTGGGCACAGCGAGGTTGGGGAGGGGCTGGGAGACTTAGAGAGGGTGGAAGAAGGGCTAACTGGAACCCCAGGCAGGCATAGAGGGTTTCTTACTTTCTGGAGGACCCACCATAAGAGGCAAGCCAAAGTGCCTGCCTTTGGAGGCCAATATATGGGAGTAATTCAGATACAGGGGACTTGTTCCCACCCCACTGGGTACCAGGGCCATGTGTGAGAAACAAGTACTCACCCCACGACAGAGTAGATGGCTGTCTGTACAAGCAATACGACTTTGTGGAGTGGGCACCAGGACAGCATCCTCGGGCCCTCACACCAACCAGCCATGTGATCACGAGTGAACAGCCAGACCAGGATGGGTCCCAGGTGGGGCAGGAGCACAAAGATGGCCCCTTGAAGCTGCATTCACCTTGAGGAGGCAAAATCTGGGGAGGCAGAGAACACGCTAGTGATGAGCCTTCCCCTGCGGCTCCTCGTCTGTCTCTGCCTCCTAACCTGACTCATTTCCTGGCCTGAGCCCCTCAGAGGAGGTCTAGTTATGGAGGTCCTTCCTCTCTCCCTGGTCCAGCTCCAGGGCTCTCCAACCCCAGGCCCCACGTTGCCCATCTCCTGGCTTCCATGGACTTCTTTTCTCCACAGCATTCCTCTGGCACTTGGAGGACACTGCCCAGCACTGGTAACTGCTTCTGAGTGAAAGACCTGCCTCCAAGTGCTTCTGACTCCTGGAGATAAGGTCCCGGGTGACCAGCTTTTCTGCCTCCCACAGTGGGCAGCACTTAGCCAGGTGTGTAGCTGGCCCTCATTGAGAACTGTTCTACCTAAGCTGATCTATCAACCTGGAAAGATCACAATCTGAAGGCAGGAGCCAGAGATTCCTGGGGGCTCTTTTCTAGTCACAAATACGGCAGCCCATCTGTCCCAGGCTTATCTCACCATATTAGACTGGCACACTCATGGGGCACACCCAGGCTTATCTCCTGCCCAAATTCAAACTTGGCCTGTTGACACTGTGGATTCCTTTTTCTGAACCTTTAGCTCTCTTCTACCCCTGGATCCAGGGGGGATGAGCTTCCTGCTCCATCTTTCCATTCCCAGAGTGTCAGGATGTAAGCACAAGTGTTCAGGTTTCTTGTGGCCTGACTTTTCAAGGAAACAACTGCCTGGTCTTTGATTAAAAAGCTGCCATGCTGATTGGCATGTTGCTTTGCATGTCATTTGCATGTGGGACAATGTACAGACCTTCCTACAACCAAGGCCCCTTTTGACACAGAGTTTCATTCTTATTGCCCAGGCTGGAGTGCAATGGTGCAATCTCGGTTCACTGCAACCTCCATCTCCCAAGTTCAAGTGATTCTCCTGTCTCAGCCTCCCTAGTAGCTGGGATTACAGGCGTGCATCACCATGCCTGGCTAATTTTGTATTTTTAGTAGAGACGGGGTTTTGCCGTGTTGGTCAGGCCGGTCTCGAACTCCTGACCTCGGGTGATTTACCCACTTTGGCCTCCCAAAGTGCTGGGATTACAGGCGTGAGCCACTGTGCCCGGCCCTAATCCCATCCTTTTCTGTCAAGGGTCGAGGACACTGGTCCTGGAGGATCTGGGACACAGCTGAGCAGCGTGCCCACCTGTGCATATTTCTACTTGTCTTTCTCTGCTCCTCACTGTCCACTTGCTCATCTTCTGCCTTCCTGTTTTTCTACATTTCTGTCCAGTGGTGGAGACCCCCTCCCTGCCCCTCCTTGCCCCCATCCTCTTTTCTCCTGACACCTGCCTCTCCCAGTACCTCCTCGTTCCCAGGCCTGTGCTCCCCTTACCTCTGGCAGCACACCTTCCTGGTGGGGGGCCTGACGACATATGATGTGTGGAAGGCAGAGGAGGGTGGGGCTGGGAAGAAGGTGGGGCTGGGAGGAGGGTGGAGTGGTGCTCCCAGCTGGTCTGCTTTTCTCAGATGAGAAGGGTGGTGACACTGGCTGGGAAGTCCAAGTTGCTGTTTCATGGCCCCAAAGAGTTCCTCTCAGGAGGAGCCCCCTGGCCTACTAGACTCTCCTTGGTGCCTGGCCTCTGGAGGCTACCCCTTGATGGAATGTTTGAGGGTTTGTGGTGAGGGTTTGACACTGAGAGACCTGGCCCTACTGTGACGGCCCAGCCCCCAGTTATAATGCTATTGATGCCTGTGGTCTCTGCATCCCATGAAACAGCTCTGTGGCCATGGGAGTGAGTGGTATGAGCCTTCGGATTTCTCCAGGAGCCTCCTTATAATTGGGATTGTCCCCAAGAGCGGCAAGCACCAGCTTTGGAAGTGAGTTCATAATCCATGAACACAGCCCCCGGTTATAGCCTCCTGGTTGGCATGACCTTCCTGGCTTAGAACCCTAGCTCGACAGATCTTTCACAAACCCCTAGGACTTTATGACTCAGAGGAGAAGGCAGCTGACAAGTGGAGGTGGGTGGGGAGTCAGGGAGGAGTGACCTGGCGCCCTGGCAGAAAGTCCTGCCTCCCAGCCTCCCTAAAGAGGGGTAGGGAAGAGTGTCCCTATCTGTTGGCAAAGTCCAGCCTCCTGTGTGACTCAAACAGAGCTTTGTTAAAGATGAACACCCTCTACCCCACTCCCTTCGTTCCCTCTCAAAGTTCTGAGCAACCCTTCCTGGCTTGTCTTTAGGCATGAGGTCTGCTTCCCAGGTTGCCTGCTCTCTACCCATTCCTTTGATACATGTCTGCACTTTGGGGTACTGGGCTCCTGTGGGAGGTTTATTCCACCCTCTCACCTCCACCAGGGAAGGAAGCAGAGGGGAGGGGATTGCAGTCAGAGACAAGAGGCTAGAGAATTATTAACTGAGACAAAAGCAGAGGAAGTTACTTATTTTCTACGGGAGATGATAACTAGTGGCCTAGGGGCGTTCACCATGCCTCCTCAACTGCAGGAGGCCAGGCCCTGGTGATAACAGTTACCATCTATTGACCACCCATTCAGTGGTGGGCATTTTACATTTATTAGCTCAATAATGACAATTATTATCTCACACGAGGTAGATATTCTTATCTGCATTTGACAGACAAGGGAATTGAGGCTCAGAGAAATTAAGTAGCTTGCCCAATATTACATAGCCAACCTGTCACTCACCTGGGCTCAGTGTCGGTCACTTGGATCCAAAATGCATCCTCTTCCCTCTCAACTTCTTCACTCATTCATTCAAGACATCTTTATTGAACACCTTCTATCTATCAGGCTGTACCAGGAGCTGAGGAGACAGCAGAAAACATGGGAAAAGTTCCTCTCCACAAGGAGTTTTCATTCTGTGGTGCCATCGCTCCTAGTCAGAGTTTCTCAGAACTCAGAATGGCAAACGGCCCCAAAGTTCAGCCGTCTCCCAAGCGGTAGTGTTTCTGCCAACTTTGGGTGGGGGAAGTAGAAAGCACCTGGTGTAAGGAACAGATATGGGTACATCTCAGGTACACCAGCAACTGGTGAGTCATTTACCCTCTCAGTGCCTCCATTGTCTTCTCTGTGCAGGGAGCGAGTGGAACTAGATGCTCTCTAAGCTCCCTGGACCGGTTGCATTGGCATCAGCTGGGAGCTTCTTTGAGCTGCAGAATCTCAGGCCCCACACTAGACCGACAGATTCAGAGCCTTCATTTTAACAAGATCTCCCAGGTGACTGCGGGGCACATTATAGTTTCAGAAACTCAGATGAAAGTTCCCTCCTCCTCCTATCTGCCATTTTAATTTAATAATAGCCTCTGGCTGGGGACAGCCACTCACCAGCAGAGGGCACTGTAGGGAGGGGTTTCAAGGTGCCGCCCCTACACCCAGGTTGTCTCCCTCCCTCCCTCCTTCCTTGCAGACCTAGACTGGCAAGGTCACTGACTTCTGGGATCCTCAGCTACTCCCTTACCTGGGCTGGACTTTGCCAATAGAGAGGGACATTCTCCTTCACCCCTCTTTAGGGCAGCTGGGAGGCAGGACTCTGCCAGGAAATGCCAGGCCACTCCTGCCTGGATTCCCCGCCCACCTCCACTTGTCTGCTGGCGTGTCGACTGGGTCTGGCTGATCCGTTTCTCAGAGAAGGAATTGGACCAGCCAGCAGCCTCTAAGAGCACCTAGACGGTAAGGTGAGCACCCCCTTGGGGCAGCTGGAGAGGGGATGGGCATTGCGATGGGGTTACCTGGAGCTCCAGGGAGGAGCCAGGCCAGCTCAGCCTGCCTGCTGGAGTGTAGGGACCCTCTGCTGGAGGAGAGGAGGAAAATGGGACTTGGCCAATGGGTATGAGGACCACTGGGATGATCTGTGTCCTACGGAAATGTCTACTATACTAACAAATGCTGTTCATGACTTGTGTTTGGACCATCTATCCCAGTACTTGTTATGTTCTGCAGTAACTGGACATCTATCAGGCACTGGGGAGGCACAGAGAGAACCAGTGAAGTGGAGGAAGGGTTGAGAGTTTTCTTAAAGGGTATGAGCAGAACTTTGCAGCAGGAGTTTGGATCTTTGTGCTGGAGGATGCAACTGCCTAGGGACAGGTGATGGCAGCATTCTAAAGAACTCTTGTTTTGGGGACCCGCTATCCAGGGTGATCTGGGGTCTGGGGCAAGACAAACTGGAGGAGTGGGTAATGAGGAGTCCAGCATGGGGTTGGGAAGCTCCAAGTCACACTTGAATGGCTGCAGTGCTATAGATGCCATTCAACCAGACTCGGGACCTTTCCCCATTCTGGGGCCACAGGGAGGATGGAGTGAGGGTCAGGGCAGCCTGGAAGAGCTGTCAGCCTGGGAGACCTGGGGCTGGCCCAGGAGGAGTTATCCTGCTTCAGGCCAGGTAAAGGAGGGAGCTCCCATGAGAGGCCCAGTGGGGCTTTGGGAGTGTTGCATGCCAACTTCTCCAGGGTCAGAGGTTGAGCCAGGGGACTCTGCTGCACCACCCAGTGAGGTGCACCTCACTGGGGATCTGGACTCTGGCCTTTGGTGGCCCCAGGCAGGTTACTGCTGTGTAACCGAGGTGGGGCCCCTCCTTTCATTCCTTTAGCTATTCCATCCCCTGCCACTGGTGCCTTGGTGGGTGGGGATGTGGGTGATGGGGTAGGTATTACCACAGAACTGAGGATGTACCTTTAGGTCCTTCTATTTGTTTTTACTTCACTTTTGCTTCTTTCTCTTCCAACTTTATTTCTTCTAGAGAAGGAAAGGAAGATACTTGGGGAAAAAGAAGGGGTGGAGAGAGAAAGGGGGTGTCTCTAGAAGGGTGTTCATCTTCGCTCCTCTTTCCTGCCTGTCTTCAGTTGTTTAGTAATTCCCTATCCATCCTCACTGTGGGGAGAAAGCTCGGATTCCTTATCTGTGAAATGGGGATAAAAATAACACCTCGCTCCTAAGGCTCCTGTGAGGATGAGATGAGACAAGCCGTGGAGAGAGCTTTAACACAGTGGCATTGAGTAAAGCTCTGCCAATGTTAGCTATTGTTATTACAGTTGGAGTTATAATTATTACTAATGTGAAAGAACCAAAAGGAATGATGGGACATCAAGGGTAGCTTGCTGCTCCAACCCCCTTCTCATCAGCTTTGGGGCACTGCCGATTTACCTGGTTCACCTGTGTGCCCTCTAAGAGGCCTGGTTGAAAAAGGCTAGTGCGTTGTCTGTCGGGTTGGCTCTTTAGGCAAAGAGAACGATGCCAATCCCCCGCTTCTTATTCATGCTTTCAGTGAGGACATGGAGGAAACAGGTACTGCCCCAGTCTTCAATCCTGAGCATACGGTGGAGGTTCTGCCCCAGTCTAAGAGGCACTAGGAAGGGGCTTTAGTTTTCATGGTCCTGGGGATGGAAGGAAGAAGGTGGGCCAAGCCTCAGTTCCAGGTGGGTAGTGTGAGTGAAGGGCATAGGGAGGACTGGACACTGGAAGCTCTTCCATTGCAGTCTCTAGTGAGTTATCCAGAGGGGCCTCCCAGGGCTCTGAAGGAGGACGTTGTGCCTCACAGAACTCAGCTACCAAGCCAATGAATTCCATTTCTGCAGAAGCTTCTTGAGAGCGGAGTAAGACGTCATCTTTGGCAGGATTGAACTTCCCACAGTGTCCGATACACAGCCAGTGCTTAGAAAATGTTCATTTGAGTGGGAAAATCACACATGACAGCACATAATCAAGAATGACTCAGCATGGTGGGATGGCTGTGGAGAGAGATTTTGTGAGCTGGAGGCTGTCAAAGGCTGGTGTGCCAGCGGGAGGCGCTATTGAATGGGAGGGTCCACATAGGGAGAAGTAACAAGTGGGGAGAGCAAGTGAGTGGAGAAACAGAAAACAGCATGAGCAAAAGCCAGAGGCTAGAATTAAGCAGGTGTGGGAAGCCTGGGCAGGCTGCAGGGCAGGGGTGTTGGAAATTGTAGGGGCTGGAAGAGGGGAAGTAGGAGGAGGCGGAGGTGGGTTCTGGAGGGCCTCGGGAAGAGCTTCTGGGAAGTCTCAGCCTGTGGCCTGGCTGGGTAGCCAGGTGAGCAGGAGGTGAGTGTTTGCTTTTGCCCTGCCTCATTCCAGCTTCACTGTAGGCTCGCATCTTTGTTTTTCATCATCTTCTTCTTCTTCTTTTTTTTTTTTGCTTCCAGTTTTAGCTTTTGTTACTCCTCTATGTCACCTGTCCCTGTGAGCTACCTTCAGGCCTTTCTGGCAGAAGGAGGGGCATAAAGAAACACATACATTTGGACAGTGCTTGCTCATCTACAAATACTTTTCACATGACCTTATGCCATCCTCACCATTACCCAAAGAGGCACTTTTTCCCCACTTTTAATAGCTTCTGAAAAGAATTACAAAGGTAATACAAACTACATGCTTGATGTGAAAAATTCAAAGTATAGAGAAAAGGATTTTTAAAAATACAAAGTTTTTGTTCACACCTTCCACCTTCTCAATTTGTCATGACTCATGGGAATAGTTTGGGGGTGTGTCCTTCCAGACCTGCACAGTCTAAGACCAGACTCATTAGTACACGTGGCTACTGGGCACTTGAAATACAGCCAGTCCCAAGTCAGCTGTTCTATTCATATAAGTTACACATGGATTTCAAAGACTGGGTATGAAAGAAGAAAGTAAAAATATCTCATAATTTTATATTGATTGCCTGTTGAAATAACATTTTGAATATATTGGGTTAAATAAAATGTATTAATTTCTCCTGTTTCTTCTTTTTAATGTGGCCATCAGGAAATTTAAAATTACATGTGTCGTTCACATTATATTTTTATTGTACACCACTGCTCCAGACGTTTCTCTATACCTTTACATTTACATATATAACCCATAAATACGTATTTATATGCAGTTTTGTTTTTCACATTAATGAGCTCAGAATATTTTATCTCTCTGCGACTTGCTTTTTCCACTTATAGATTTTTTTGTATCAGCATTTGTAGATCAAGGTAGATATTTGGACAGATGAGGAGACTGAGGTACATTAAGCAATATTGAGGCAGGAGGAGGAAATTGATTCCAGGCCAGATGGAAAACTGGCTGAAACAGGGAAGAGGCACCAAAAGCACCTCTCCATAAGACATGCCCACCAGTGCCATGACAGTTTACCACTGCCATGGCAATGCCTGGAAGTTACTGCCCCTTTCCATGGCAGTGACCCAAAGCTACCATCCCTTTTTCTAGAAATTTCTGAATAACTCGCCCCTTATTGCATGTAGTTAAAAGTGGACATAAATATGATGGCAGAAATGCCCCCAAGCTGCTACCCTGGGCACACTACCTAGGGTTAGCCCTGCTCTGCAGGGAGCATACCTCTGCTGCTGCTGTATGCTGCCACTTCAGGGAAAGTTGCTGTCTAACACCACTGACTCACCCTTGAATTCTTTCCTAGGTGAAGCCACAGACCCTCCCAGGCCAAGCCCCAGTTTTGGGGCTGTCCTGCCTTACATCAATATGATAAAACTTACCCAGCCATAGTGACCAAGGTGGCATTTGAACTCATGTTCTCTAACTGTAAACCCAAGCTCACTCTGCTTCAGAGCAGTTCACAGAGAGCCAGGGTAGGTTCTCGAGTAAGAGAGACAGGTTAAAAGAATTGGTGTGACTAAAGTGTGCAGGGTGCGCTGGGATGAAGACAACTTGCAACTATGTGGAAGTCAAGCCTTGACCTCCACAACTTAAAAGGGCTTACCCTGACACTGACCCCTTCTTCCTTACCAGGCCTTTGGCTTTGGCTGGCACAGGGGTGAAGGAGAGCCAGCAGCATTGAGTGACCGGGCGAATGTGCTTCCAGGAGAGTTCATTCCAACCCTCCCAGTTCCTACTGCTGGTGGGGGTCCCGGTGGCAAGTGTCCTCCTTCTGGCCCAGTGCCTTCGATGGCACTGCCCTAGAAGGCTACTGGGGGCCTGCTGGATGCCGAATGGTCAAGAGGAACCAGTGTCCCAGCCTACCCCTCCACCAGAAAATGAGGTCTCAACGCAGCACCTGCCAGCCACACTGCCAGAGATGGCTGCCTTCTATCAGGAGCTGCACACACCCACTCAAGGCCAGACCATGGTCCGCCAGTTGATGCACAAGCTGTTGGTGTTTTCGGCTCGAGAGGTGGATCACCGCGGCGGTTGCCTGATGCTCCAGGATGCAGGCATCTCCTTGCTCATCCCACCAGGTAACAGCTCCCGGCTCTCTTCTCCACATACAGTTGCTCAGACTGTACATTAGGTCACCACATCTGAGGGAGCAATGTTCATAGACACTTTTTACTTCTGATAATTGTTGTTTTGTGAGTATAGTTTTATTGACTTCAGGGATGGACATATTACATATCTTTTAGGACAACTTCCTGGCAGGTGGAAGTAAAGTGCCTTGTTCTAATGAATCAGTATGCTGTGACAATTCTCCAGTAAAGGGAGGCAAGAGCACTATTTGCAAATTCATACTAGGCACACTATGGGCTAGCAAAAGCCTGGGTGGAAAGGGGAGTGTCTTGCTTAGGGTTACACTACAAGTCAGCTCCACAGTCATTTTACTCTTGTTCATACCACCGCCCTGTGTGCCCTGCTGGGGACGTCTCTCCTGGGCTTCTGCCCCACCTCCTTTCTCTCTGGCCTGGCCTCTTTCAGGGGCAGGGGTGTGCCTGCCTACCAGGCCCATTTCATCTCTCCCTGTCCTCCCCAGGTGCTGTGACTGTGGGCCGCCAGGAGCGGGTGTCTTTGATCCTGGTGTGGGACCTTTCGGACGCCCCATCACTGTCCCGAGCCCAGGGGCTGGTAAGCCCTGTGGTGGCATGTGGCCCCCATGGGGCCTCCTTCCTGAAGCCTTGCACTCTCACGTTTAAACACTGTGCCCAGCAGCCCAGCCATGCTCGTACCTACAGCAGCAACACTGCCCTGCTCGATGCCAAGGTATGGAGGCCCCTGGGGCAGCCGGGGGCCCACGCCTCCCGGGATGAGTGTCGCATCCACCTCTCCCACTTCAGGTAGGCACATGCCATTGGCCTGTCTTCCCACACCCATCTCTCTGGGGACTGTCTTTCCTGCCCACTTTCTCTGTCTGCCTTATCTTCAGCTCTCTGTATAGAAGATGGTCTGCAAATCCTTTATACCCTAGTGACCCTTTCTGGCCCCTCTGTCCTAATGTCTGTAGCAGTTTTTCTCACACTAATCATGTCCAGGACTGCAAATCCCACCGCTGTATCTGTCTGTCTGGAAGTGTCTGACTCAGCCCCATCTCTCCACCTAGAAGGGACCTGTCCTTCTCCACCTCTCTCTATCTCTCAAATTATCTCTCTCTACTGTGTGCCTCTTTCAGGACTGTCCCCAAACTTAGTGCCAGTTCTCTAAGACTCCATTCCATCTTTGTCTTTCATCTCTTTGTCTTTCTAGAGTCTTAGGTCCTCTGCCTCCCAGCCTCCTTCCTAGCCATTGACAGGAGTAGAGCCATGTGCAGGTGCCCTCCCAAGCATGGTCACCCTGAGCCCACTTCCCCTCTTTCCCCTGCCAGCTCTCCTCCCCATTCAGTCACCAGTCACCATGATGTCCTCACTTTTCATCCCCCCCTACCAGTTCCTCCCTAAGTGCTCCCCTCGAGTGCTCTCCGAACCTCCCTGAAGGCCCCACAGAGGCCCCTCAGGTGGCAGGAGGCTGGTGGCAGTGTGTTGGTGTCTTAGCCTTCCCTGCACATGAGTGCCTGCCAATGGCTCCCTCTGCAGCCTCTACACCTGTGTGATGGAGGCACCTGTGGGACGCGAAGCTCGCAAATGGCTGCAGCTGGCCGTATTCTGCTCACCGCTGGCGCCAGGACAGTCCCACCTGCAGCTGCGTATCTACTTCCTCAACAACACGCCCTGTGCCCTGCAGTGGGCACTGACCAACGAGCAGCCCCATGGTGGGCGCCTGCGTGGGCCCTGCCAGCTCTTCGACTTCAGTGGGGCCAGGGGTGACCAGTGCCTGAAGCTCAAGTACATCTCAGAGGGTGAGAGAGGCAGTGGCCTGTGGGAAAGGATGATCAGGAGCCCCACAGGAATGAAGGGTTCTGGGGCTCCCCTGGACATCTGGAGATCTGGGGACCCCAAGTCTCTTTATTTTTTTTCCTTGAGTTGGAGTTTTGCTTTGTTGCCCAGGCTGGAGTGCAGTGACATGATCTCGGCTCACAGCAACCTCCGCCTCCTGGGTTCAAGTTATTCTCCTGCCCCAGTCTCCTGAGTAGCTGCAATTACAGGTGCACACCACCACAGCTGGCTAACTTTTTTGTATTTTTAGTAGAGACGGGGTTTCATCATGTTGACCAGGCTGTCTCGAACTCCTGACCTCAAGTAATCTGCCCGTCTCGGCCTCCCAAAGTGTTGGGATTACAGGTGTGAGCCACCGCACCAGGCCCCAAGTCTCTTTGTGACCTCTGGGCCAGCAGTAGCCTCATGGAGCCCCCAGGACTTTGACCACTCTGCTGTCTACTGAGCCCTTGCCACTCACTCCTAGGATAGGGTGATGCCAGGTGGGAGGCGGGAGGAGAGGGGTTATACCCCACAGAAGCAGGAAGGGATGGAAGGCTTTTACAGTGCAAGGGCCCTCTTGGGGTCCCTGCCCAGGCTCTGGGGATTCCCATCCCCTTGAGACCCTCCTGCCTTTGTTCTGTCCTCATGCCTCCCCACAGCCCCCTTCAATACTTGTGGAAGGCCCCACTCTCTGAGGCCCTCTCCTCTCTGCCTACTCGCCAGGTTGGGAGAATGTGGATGATAGCAGTTGCCAGCTGGTTCCCCATCTCCACATCTGGCATGGAAAGTGCCCATTCCGCTCGTTCTGCTTCCGGAGAAAAGCAGGTAGTCCGGGAACCCTGTGTGTACCTCCTCCCCTCTCTTTTCCCCTCCCGTCTCCTCTTCTCCCCTCCCAGTAACCCTGGAGCTCTGCAGACCCTGATGCAGCCATGCACACAGACCTTCCCTGAAAGGCCAGGAGCCACACAGATCTTTGCAGAGAGAAAAATGGAGTGTTGGACCCCAGCTTCTTCAGATTTTCCAAGTCTTACTATAGAGTCCCTTACCTTCTCCTCCTCTTACCCCAGGCCATTTCCTCACTCACTGGCCATGCTCTCACCTTCTCTTTATAGCCAATGAGAATGAGGACTGTTCAGCACTAACCAATGAGATCATTGTCACCATGCACACCTTCCAGGATGTGAGTTGGAGCTGAGGGGCAGAGGAAGGGCAGGGCCTGGGGGGACTCCTAGGCAAAGTGGGCACAGGGTATGGTGCCCAGTAATTATGGTCTTAATCACATAGGTAAATATGGCATTTTCCATAGAGACCCTATACCAGCTCTTTGAGGGGCTCAGATCATCTGGGCTCCAAGTTACCCTCATCCCTGACTCTCCTTGTCTGTCGGTGGATGAATCCAGCGGGAGGCTAAAAGAACCAAACCCTAGTTTAACCCCTTCTCCCAACTCAGAGAACTGGGACATCAAGTTGATACGGTTTCTTTCTAGGTTGATTGTCTACATTTGAGAGATGATGTTTTGTATCTTCAGTGTGGGATTTGAGAGACGATGTTTTGTATTTTCAGTGTGGGAAGTGGCCAGGAAGAGGGTCTTGAGTAGGCGGGATGGGAGTTAGGTATCTCTCCTCTCCTGCTGCACCAAGGGAAGATGCGAAGAAATCAGAGTTGAGAGTCTTTGGGGAACCATAGTGGCACCTTATTGGAGGGCAGGCAGATACCCTGTTGTCACTTGGAGAAGAGGCAGGGAAGGTTGGAATGGAGGAAGGGAAACATATGGCTGAGATCAGTGTCTCTATGGTTGGATGACCTCCCACTGCACCATGGCCCCTCCCAGGATTTCCCCTGGTGGCTCAGGATGCATCCTGTTTGGTCTTCATGTCCCAGTTCCCAAAGAGCTCAGTGGGCAAACATAAGGCTGAAGGTGGGGTTCTGAAGTCAGGGAGACAGCGGGTAGAGGGTGCTGGGTGGAGTGGGGTTGTATCTCCTGGTAAGGTGGCTCTAAGTGACAGACTGAAGGACAGACATGAGGAATGGAGGCAGGACTCCAGCTTCTTACTCAAGGGGATGCCTTGTGACCCCTAAGTATGTTCCCTGCCCTGTGTTGACTCAGGGCTTGGAGACCAAGTATATGGAAATCCTCAGATTCCAGGCATCAGAGGAGGAATCCTGGGCAGCACCGCCCCCTGTCTCCCAGCCGCCCCCATGCAATAGGTGAGATGGGGGTTGCTTGGGCTGTTGCCTGGGGGATGTTGGGTTCCTACCCTGGCACCCACAGGGTGACTACAGCATTTACGGTGTATATGGGAGAACCAGAGTGGGTCTGTTTGTCCCTTTCTTCCAAGAACACCTTTTTCCCTGCCTCAGACTGCCCCCAGAGCTCTTTGAGCAGCTGCAGATGTTGTTGGAGCCAAACAGCATCACAGGCAATGACTGGCGCAGACTAGCCTCTCACCTGGGGCTTTGCGGCATGAAAATCCGGTAGGAAGAGGGGTGATGTCTGTGGATGGTAGAGGAGGGTGGGCTGGGGCGGGGGTCCTCAGGACACTCTGGAGACTGGATCACAGGCAAGGGAGTGACTTAAAAGTCAGAGAATGGCTACTCTCCATCCTATTTCCCATAAAAGGACAGCTCTATTAATCACTGTATCATCAGTACCTAGAATGATGCCTGGTGCATAGTAGGTGCTCAATTAACATTTAACAGTGAATCCATTAGCATGGAAGTTATTTGGTACATGTTGAGTGCTTGCCATGCTATGCCCTGAGGAGGAGAAAGACAGATTATAGGATAATGTGTGTAAAGTATGTAGCGGGGTGCCTGACACTTGTTAATTCAATAAATGTTAGCAATAATGGTGACAGTGCAGTCATGATCCCTGTCAAGGAACTCAGAAAGCAGTAGAATACCGAGCTAAGCTCCAGAAACTACACTATGAGTGCAGCGGTCAGGGAAGACTTTATCCAGGTGATGGGGCTACAGCTGGACCCTGAAAACAGGGTGGATTTTTATTTATTATTATTATTATTATTTGAGATGGAGTCTTGCTCTGTTGCCCAGGCTGGAGTGCAATGGCACAATCTTGGCTCACTGCAACCTCCGCCTCCCGGGTTCAAGTAATTCTCCTGCCTCAGCCTCCCAAGTAGCTGGGATTACAGGCATGCGCCACCACGTCCAGCTAATTTTTGTATTTTTAGTAGAAACGGGGTTTCATCAGGTTGGCCAGGCTGGTCTCCAACTACAGGGTGGATTTTTAAATCATTCATTTAAGCATTTATCAAGTACCTATTATGCCCTGGAAACAGTACTAAGCACTGTGATACAAGAGGAATGAGGCATGGTCCCAGCGCCTAGGAGCGCACACACTAGTAAGGGGTTCAGAGAGCTTGAAAAATAAAGGCAAGTGTTGCTTGTGCCTTCCTGTAAGAATCCAGTATTGTATAACACATCGAAGAGAGACAGAAAACAGCCGAAGCAAGAATAATAATGAACTGTGGGCGTTATGATCAGAAGTCTGAACTGAGGGGTGCAGAATGGTCTCTTCCACCTGGGAGGGGTGAACTAGAAAGGGCTTCAGGGAGGAAGTGATGGAGGAGATCAGCTATTCTGTTTTGGGGAGCAGCAGAGGTGGCTGTGGGTGTAGTGTTTGCAAGACGAGAAAGGGAGAGGCCGGAGCTAAGGAGGTTCAGGATGGGAGAAAGGAGAGAAAGCATAAAGACAGGGCAAGGCCAGGTGCTGGATGAGCCGGAAAGGCTCATGGAGCATGGACTGGTTAGGAAGTGAGAGACTCTGGAAGGTTTTTGTGGACGGGAGGATCGTGATAAAAAGCCATGGTTTATGGCAACTGTTTCCTTAGTAGTGAGCAGGATGTTGTGGCCTAGGAGAGAGGCAGGAAGGAGGGAGTTAGGAGGCTAGGGGGAGGCTAGGGCTGTATTTGGAGTGGGGGAGGTAGAGAAGGCAATTACAGAACATCAGAGCTGGAGCAAACTTAGAGGTCCTCTTATCTAAGCCCTCAGTTTAATGAGAGGCAACTGAAGCCTAGAGAAGAGTAGGGCTCAGAGAGTTAGCCTCCAGGCGAGGACAATCTCAAGTTTCAAGGGCCTGGGGCTTCCCACCCCCTGTCCCCTGAAAGGCAAGCAAGAGCAGGACGAGGACAAAAGCTACAGAGTGGGGGAGGGATGGACCTCGTGCTGCGCAGCCGAGGGAGCCTGCAGCAGGGAAGGAGCCCCTCCCTGCTCCTTCCCCCTTCTCCTCCTCCCCTGCCTCGGGCCAGGTTCCTGTCCTGCCAGCGCAGCCCCGCAGCGGCCATCCTGGAGTTGTTTGAGGAGCAGAACGGCAGCCTGCAGGAGCTGCACTACCTCATGACCGTCATGGAGCGGCTAGACTGCGCCTCCGCCATCCAGAACTACCTGAGCGGGACCCACGGCGGCAGCCCAGGCTCCGAGCGCGGGGGCGCCCGGTATAACCAGGGCCTGGAGCTGGACGAGAAGCTCTGAGCGCCCAGCGGGCAGGGCTGGAGGAGGTGTGGGGGCGAGAGGGGTTGTTTCCCCACGCCTATGAGGAACACAGCAGCTGTTCCTGGCTGTGCCCACCACCCTTCCCAGAACCCTCGGACGGTGCCCGGGGCTGCCCGCGAAGCCGGAGCGTCCTCGCCAGCCTCGCAGCAGCAGGCGCGCCCTTCGGGCCGCCATCTGTCCCGCGTGCGGGTCTCCTCCTGGCCGGCAGAGGGCGCAGGAGCCCAGGAGATGGCCTCAGCGTGGCCCGACTGCCGAAAATGACCAGGGGACGGCCACGGTCCCCGCGTGCACTTTAGGGCCAGTCAGGCCCCGAGTATTCACTGAGCGCTCAGGCAGACCGGACATTGGGCTGGTGTCATGAAGAATACTGGAATATAGGAGGCAGGGACTGGAGCCCTGACAAGCACACAGTTCTTTTGCAGGAGTCAAGATGTTCTCATAGCAGCCAGGGGCAAACTCGAAAACAGCCCTGACCTGTGGTTGGGGGATGTGTGTGTGGCTTTAGGAGTTGAGAGGGGAAGAGCTGAGTGCGGGCTGGAGCAGCGAGAATGCTTCACAGAGGATATTAGGGAGAGAGGATTTGACTTGCTGAGTGGTTTGTAGATCTTTAGGTGCGGGTGGGGGAAGAGGGTGGCTGAACTTAGGTAGGAGCCGAGAGTGGGCATGGGAGCCCAGCCCCATGGGTGTGAGGCCTGGGTAGGACATGGCTTCCCGGCTAGGCACGCCTGGCTGTCTGCCTCTGCCTCCGCCTCTGCCTCTACTAACTTCCTTTGTCTGTGTATCCTCCTGCTCAGGTCTTGTCTTTCCCTCTCTCTGCCATTTTCTCTATCAGAAAACATTAAAGCTGAGTAGAAACTTCAAGATGATCATTCTGGCCCAATCCTTTTATCTCTTTATCTCCAACGGTGTGCGTTTTGAGTCTCTCTGACTTGGTTTTTCTGTCCCTATCTCCCGCAGTTGTTCAGTCTCTGCACCTGTGTTTCTGTTTCTCTCTCTCTCTTAGATCTTTTTGTTTCTGCCTAGTCTCTGTGCCCTGTCTTTGTTTCTTTCTCTGTCTGAAACCCTCCCTCTTTTCCCTTCAGGCGAATGTCTCTAAACCAATGTTGTGTGTCAAAGACTGTTGAAAGAGACAGGGCCACTCTAGGAATGGATGGGTGGGGATATTTTCCTTCCCCATGGATTAAGATCCAGTTTAGGGTCAGGAAATAAAGGATAGGGATGAAAGAGCACCCTATTCAGTCAGCAGATACTTATTCAGCACCTACTATGTGTTAGATACTGTATACAAAAGACATGAATGGGCTGGGTCCTGAACAGAGAATAAAGGGTTTGACTCCATTCTGGAAATGCTTTTGTTTGCAAACAGGTGTTGTTAATTTGCTCAAAGGCAGGCAAACAATCTCTCTGGCAACACAATTTTCTTCTGTATTTAATTAAAAAATATTAAAGCTTTTTTTCTATGATGAATGATAAAATATGAAAATCGCCTTTCTTTGTTACTAACTGTATTTTGCTCAGATTGGCAAATTTGGATGTGAGTATGAATGATTTTATTTGGTAAAATTGTACCTATGGGGATGGGTTGGAGGGAAGCATTTTGTAGACTGTGCTTCCAGTATGAAAATTATCTGGGTCCCGCATGGTAAGTCAGGGAGGTTACCTTCTTTTCTGTTAGATGCAAGCCTTCAGAAGCAGGCCCTTCCATCCCTTCCCTGTTGCCCTAGTGCCACCCGTCCTCTCCTACCCTTCTCATCTGTCCTCCTTACCCCACCAGGGACTGCCAGTCATGCCAGATTAGTGCCCCGGCCTTTTCCCCCTTCACTTAGCTCAGGATTGAACTGTGCAGTAGCCTGGCACTGTTTAGCCAAAGACATCATTGTGTTTCTTCCAACCCTGGAAAAAATCATTTTAAGAGTTTCACGTCTTCTGGAGTTGCAAATAGAAGCCACAGAGATTCCTGTGATGGGAATAGAATGCTTTCTGGCCCCAACTCCAATTTCTCAAAATGGGTTTCCAGTGCTGGCAAAGGGAGGCTTGGAAATCCTGGGGTAGTTGCAGGCTGAGTGATTCCTATAAGGCAGACCCTTCCTTTCTCACATCAAACGCAGTTGGCATGTTATGTATTGGCACCTAATGCTGAGAGATGGTGTGCCCCATTGGGTATCAGGAGACTTAACATTTAGCCCTGACTCATACTAACTAGAACAGCTCTTCTTTTGGGCTTTAAACTCTTCCTTGGAATGAAGCTACCATGTTAGAGGCTGTCCCAGGGCCTTTGGTTTCACAGACTTATGCAGAGGTGGCACACTGGTCACCCAAGGAACGTTCACTTGGGGATTGTTTTTTTTTTCTTTTTGAGTTGCCTTCAAATAGAACAATTGATCACTGCTTGTGGCCTTACTTCCAGCCCTCTCCCTGATAAAGAGCTGCCTAAATCACCTGCCTAAAAACACCACATTTGTGACTTCTGCTCTTTCACATGCTGCAGAGGCCCACATCTACACTTCCTCCTGCTGGATTTGGCGTCTGGGGAAAGAGTTTGGGGAAATGAAAGGGTAAGGTTGGGCCTAGGTCTGTGGGGTTGGAGCCTCTAGCGCTGAAAGCAAATATGTGTCCTTGGCATCCCCTTTGACCACTGAGCAATATTTATGCTAATGTTCAGATCTGTGCTAACAGAAATTCAATGAAAGCCACATATATAATTTTACATTTTCTAGTAGTCACATCGAAAATTGTAAATAGAAACAGGTGAAGTCAACTTTAATAAGTTTTGTTTAACCTAATATATTCAGAATATTATTTCCACATGTAATCAAGATAACATTAATAGTATATTTTACATTCTTTTTTATATTAAATATTTGGAATCTGGGGTATACTTTGCAATTACAGCACATCTCAATTTGTATGCTAATTTTTCATTGGAAAGATTTCATCTGTATTCAGCTTTTATACAATTTATAACTAAAACGTACATTTACATACGCACATTAAACAAGCCAAAAGTTTTCCAAAAATGGAATTAGGTATCAGTTTTTAAATTTTAGTTCACTGAGATAAAATAAAAATTCAGTGCCTCAATTGCACTAGCCAGATTTCAGTTGTTTAGTGGCCATGTGTGGCTAGTGGGTACTGTTAATGGACAGCACAGATCTGGGTTAGGAATCCAGCTGGGTATAACTTTATAGTATACTTGACCATTCACTTATTTGTTAATTAATCAAACATTTGCTGAATACCTACTCTGTGCTAAGCCCTGCACAAATTGTTGGTGATAAAAATCCAATGAAGAAGAGCATTCTTGTTTCGTAGGAGCTCCTGAGAAGCTGGGAGTCAGAAGGAAGGACACTTTCCTCCCATCCTTCTTTGTACCTGACTCAAGAAGGTAATGGGAGATGAGGTTCAGGCCGATACTCTGTGTTGCAGAAATGGCTCACACTGCAGCCTGCTGTAGAGGCAGTAGATTCAGGGTCAGTGTTCCTGGCTTACCTAGTACATCAGGTGGGTTGTTGGTTGATGACAACAGGATTCACTCTAGCTGGTTGAGGCAGATGGGATTTATTAAAGGAAACTGAAGGAAAAACAATCATTTGGAGGGTGGAGAAATAGATTTGGGGTAAAGTGTCCAGGAACAATGCCCTAAACTGTACTGTAGGACTAGATCATGGAGGGAAACTGGTATTACTATGGCTGCTGCTACTGAGCACTGGACACCAGGAACTTGACTTTATTACAGCCACTCCCGCTACCACCACTGATGCTATCTCTGAGTCAGGAACCAGACTTCACCACCACTTCTTTTTTTTTTTTTTTTTTTTTTTTTTTTTTTAGACAGAATCTTGCTCTGTTGCCAGGCTGGAGTGCAGTGGCACGATCTTGGCTCACTGCAACCTCCGCCTCCCAGGTTCAAGCGATTGTTCTGCCTCAGCCTCCCAAGTAGCTGGGATTACAGGCGTGCGGCACCACGCCCGGCTAATTTTTGTATTTTTACTAGAGACGGGGTTTCACCATGTTGGCCAGGATGGGCTCGCTCTCTTGACCTCATGATCGGCCCACCTCGGCCTCCCCTAAAGTGCTGGGATTACAGGCGTGATCCACTGTGCCTGGTCCCTCACCACCACTTCTGAAAGCTAAGGCCTCTTCTGCCTTCCATGCCAGCAAAAACAGAAGCTCCATGCACTGCCTGCTCTTTACACTACTCACTTCTGAATCAAATCTCTAGTGCTGGCCTTGGGTTGTGAGAGCTCAGACCACATGCCTGAATCCTAGCTGCAAAGACACCTGGAAGCTCTGAAATCTGACTGGAACTCTGACTTCAGTATCAGGGAAATGGGACTTATTACATGAGAATATCCCCAAATATGGGAAAGCTACTCAAAAGTTGATGAGAAGCCACAAATAAGACAGATGTCTACTACAGTCAGAGTGTAGTCATGCTGTAGCCTCAGGCAGCAAATTCCCTTCTCAAGAATAGCCATGCACTCAGTAGGTGCCGTATCAAGGTTCTGGCAGAGAGTAGACTGAGGATGTGCTATGGATTGAATGTTTGTGTGCCCCCAAAATTCATATGATAAAATCCTAACCCTCAATGAGATGGTATTAGGAAGTTGGCCTTTAAGAGGTAATTAGGTCATGAAACTGGAGCCCTCATGAATGGCATTAGCGCCCTTATAAGAAGAGACCCAGGAGAGTTTGCTTCATTTCTCTCTGCTTTTTATCACATGGGCACACACAATGAGAAGATGGTGGTCTGAGAACCAGGAAGAGGCCATCACCAGACACCAGTCAGAACCTTGATACGGTGCCTGTGTAAGACCACTGACCTTCAGAATCTTCTCAGTAAAGCATGCCTGCACACGTTCCTTAGGATGGCTCTCATGCCAGTACACACAAATGTTATCCTGTAACCCAGGTTTAGACCTTGACATGGTTTAGAAGTGCTATGGTCTGACAACAAGCTCATCAACAGTGGCAAATTGGTTCATTCCATGCCTTCTCCAGCCCCTGTGCCTCCCTGTACTGCAGAGGCTGAAAACTAAAATGATGTTTCCCAGACTTCTTGGCAGATGGGGATCTAGATATGCTTAGGTTCAGCCAATCAGCTGGACTCATGCGGGACTTTGATTTGGAATATGGAGGGATGATTTGGAATAATGGAGGGAGTTGAACAGGGCATGAAGCTGGTGCTCATTTTGAGGAGCTAGAGTGGTCAGCAGCTGTGGCAGCAGCTCCCTTAGTGGCAAGTTGCATGCATAGTTTGGGGTGTTAATATGGAATTCAACTTGGAGTATATCCCTACAGCCTTTCCAGTGATTTGTGAACTATCTATCTGGCTCCATAATATATTGTTTGTGCTTAAACTAGCCAGAGAGGGACTACATAGTATAAAACAAAGACCTGTATCGAGTGTGCCAATGATTTTTTCACTGCAAAGACTGTTCTTTATTCTGTGATCATATACTTCTTACTTTGCTTGTGTTAACAGGCCTATTACCTTATGAAAGGATGGTAAAGCAATGATAGCTTTATTAAAATGTCTACTTAGTAAAGTAAAAAGATAATAATCCTATGTTGATTTTCTCTTCCCCAAATTAAAAAATAAAACACAAAAATATTGGTCTGTAAAATACAAAAGCCTGGAAATGCTTTTTTTGTGAGACCTGTCATCCTGATCCTTTCGAAAGCCTTACACAGATATGTTTATTCATCTCCTCTGCACATATTTGACTATTTACTATGTGCTTAGAAACATGGTGGGCCTTCATTTATTTTCTTATCTTCAGGTACTCTTTCTCATGCTGACTTTAATCCAGCCTATGCTAGTTTCTTGTTGGCAGAGATGTTATGCCTTCTGGCCAAAAAAAAAGCTAAGTCAATCCTAGCTGGTTAGTGTCATGACATCATAAAGATATTAGCCCAAGGACAGGAATATGCTTCATATTGGCTCTCAACCTTCAGGTGAAACCAGATTTCATTTCCAAATGAACTAGAAAAGACACAATTGGAAAATGAAGAATAATATTTGGAAGATGCTGAATAGGGTGAAGACGAGATTATAGAAAAGTTCTTTAGTGGGGCAGAGAGTATAGATGGGGGTGGGGAAGGGCACATCCCCCCTAATCTAAGGGAGGAGCTGGCCATCCTTTCCCTGGGAATCTCAGATAAATACAAAGAAGGCACATGACAGACAAGGGGACCCAGTGGCATTGGTTATCTTGGAAATCTACCAGGAAAGTCTTCACATGTGGCTTGTCCTCGCTGCATACCCACCCACAGGGTTTCATCACAGTTGGGCTTCTTGTGCTCTGGCTGAGGAGACCATCTGTGGCTAGGTGGCAGAAGCAGACCATGTTTAGTACACAGGGTGTAAGCCCTTGGGAAGTTTTGAGTTCTGGAGATCGCCCGTCTCTGTGAGCCTGTGTTGTCCTTCCTTTCTGCCTGTGACTACCCTCTTCTTTCTGGGTCAAGC